TTCTTCGAGGAAATACTTAGAAGAAATTCTTAGCAGAAAACACTTAGAAGAAATTCTTAGTCGGCAATACTTAGAAGAAATACTTAGCAGAAAACACTTAGAAGAAATTATAAGACGGAAGCACAAATTCTTCGAGGAAATACTTAGAAGAAATTCTTAGCAGAAAACACTTAGAAGAAATTATTGGTCGGCAATACTTAGCAGAAAACACTTTGAAGAAATTATAAGACGGAAATACTTGGCAGAAATTCTTGGACGAAAACAATTAGAAGAAATTATTAGTCGGCAATACTTGGCAAATATTCTTAGAGCTATCAAATGTTGATCTTGCGCAAAGCATTAACTACAATATTTTAGGCATGTGTCAGCTTTGTGGAGGAAATTGCATATAATATATGCAATATTTATTGAATATAACCTCTGCACGGTATTTCCGAGTATTGGCAAGCCATTTGACAAAATGAAATATCATAAAAAAAAGAAAGGGAAACACAGCACACACACACACACTTTCTCACAGATACAGACACACACCAAGGTCAATTGAATCACTGCAAATGGGGCTGCAGCACGAATATTAGTCAACTTAAAGTTTAGCTAGGGGTTGTCAGGTGAAATAGCAGTAAGCTGAACAGCACCTGTATTCACAGCCAGACAGGCCCAGACACGAATGTATGCAAGTTAATTTCCAGTTTGGACTTAAATTGACAAAGTTTATAATAGTAGTACCCAGAGCGCTCCATGAGAGCCAACAGCCAAACATATATACATACATATATGTAGTTGCACATGCATTTATATTCTTTGAGTTGTTGCCATTTCATATCCGATTTGTATTTTTGGCCACTTTTCAGGATTAGTGAGGCCACGGACGCCCACGTGAACTACAACTATACAACGAAGCCGCGAGTGGTTCTTCCGCCTAATTATGTCAAGGGTAAGTTGGCAATATATTTGTATACCCTGTAAATTAAGTCATTTCAAGACATTTTTCAATGGCTGAACATGGTTTGTGATTTTATTATTATTATAATTAATTTTTGTTTTTGTTTTGTGATATAAAAATCTAACTCAATTTGGCTAGATTTTTAAATGCTCCATTTTAAAATATTCTAAATATTACACTTGGCAAGGTATTCAATACTTTTAATGATACAAAGCTATATTAAAATATTTAAAAAATAATAATAATTATAATAATACATTAAAATAAGTTATAAACAATATTAAATTATAAATATAGACATTATTAAATGTAAAACAAATTACACAAATATTTTATTTATTGTGGTATATATTCACTAAATAAATACAAATCTTATATGAATTATATTTGTTAGCATATTAAATCTTCGGCTCACAATGCACGGTAAAAATATTTTGTGATTCATTTCTCTTTCTCTTCGCATTTTGCCATTGCTAAAAGCGTTGCGTGTGGCATTTATCGTGACACAGCCAATTTCAGGGCCTTTTCGTATAGCCCGTAGAGCCCGTATAGCCCCGTTTTTGTCTTCAGCCGGTGCATATTCGCTTAACTTCTGTAATTACTACTTATGTACATATATGTAATGCATGTATGTATGTATGTCTATAATAGCAATGTATGTCGCGCCCTGACGTCAACAGTGAACGAAAAAAAAAAAAAACGGAAATTATAGCGATCGATTAAACGAGAGAGAAACGAAGCAGAAAATGAAGAACAGGAGATGAGTTTAAATTTTGCATGCCTTTATAGAGCATATATATAGAGGAAGTAAAAATATGTCTTGTGTAGTATATATAAATATTTATTAATTAATAATTTACTCAGACTCCCCTTCGTTAAACTCCCTCACTATTGCCCCTGCTTTGATATCTATGAGGTTCTTACTTTAATCTTGCATTTGAATAGAGATTGTGCCCTCTGCAACGCTGCCATTTCCGCAGGAAAAGCAGCTAGAGCTAGCAATGGGCCTATATTTTGTGTGTACTTTGAAAAGTAACCATGACCAGAGAGAATTCGTACCCAAAGACGTCACACAGTGCTCTAGATCAAAGATAATTTTTGCAATTTTACCTTCCAGCAGACTTTATAAAGTCTGCAATTGCAGGTGATGGTAAACATACTGACAATATTTTTTAAATAAAATAACATTATAAATAAAATAAAAAATAATACTAATAAAAGGAAAATAGTGATATTTTCCTTAATATAATTTAATATCGTTTATTTATCCTTAACATAAAAAAAAAAAAACAATATAAAATATTCTATAGTCTCATTTAACTCCGTTACTTCCTTAAGTGAGATTCTTAACTATATTCATATAAGATAACAACAATTAAAACGGTGAAACTTAAAGCCATCAAGCTCTTTTGAAAGTAATGAAAAATGCCAACTAAATTAAGTTGAACCTTAACGTCTAGCGTCTAACTTCTCACGCCTGGAACCTCTATCGATTTTCACAGTTGTGTAATAAACCTTCAACCCACACGCTGTCCCTGAACTTGAAGTGGGGCCGATTGCCCGAAATTCTTACGTGTTCATATACGATAAATAACAGACTATATAAAGACCAAAAGTGTGACGATTGGGCTGGGGCTACATATGATTATATTGTGTTATTATTTTCTGATTAGATGCGTGATCTTTCTAATTGCAGAAATGCGTCCGCCCTCGAAGAAGGGTTCCCCAGTGATAGTAGACTTTAGCATATTTGTTGTAGATATTAACTCAATTAACGTAGAGGATATGGACTTTAGGTAAGTGATGTTCTCCATTGGCTCCATCGAAACGGTGATCATATAATGCAGCCAGACATTATATATCCATTTTCAGAGTTGACATGTTCATTCATCAGCGATGGATGGAATCGCGACTAGAAATCTCCGATGACATATTCGAGGAGGGCGACGATTATGTGACCTTGCTTCCAGAATTTTTCGATAACCTCTGGCAGCCAGATCCGTATTTTCTCAATTCAAAAATTGCCGGTAAGTAAAGATGATAAATATATGCATGTTCCTCCATTGAGTTACTGCTACTAAGCAAGGTGTTTTTGATGTGAGATTTGTTGACACCCGAATTCACAATTTACAATTCACAAAGTTCTCTAGCACTGATAAGTCTCTCTTGATCGCACTGAAGCCTAGAGTTAGTCTATATGTATTTACCTAATTTGTGTATAATAATATTGTGTTTTTTATACTTTTAATTTCCATTGTTTTTAACATTACCCAAAACAAAAAAAAAAAAAACAAACAAAAAATCGAAAAAAAAAAAAAACTTCTTTTCAACTAATAACAACAACGCATACGACTAGGATTTGGAAGTCCACATATTTCGTCGACTTCTCTACTACGCCATAAGGATGAAAAAGAATCTAAAAACTTTCATCTAGACAAATCTTTAAGTATACTAACAATCAACTCTAGAATGTGTTTTCGTGTTGGCCATTGTAATCAAGTCGTACTCAAGCAATCACAAAACCCTCATTCAATCAACTCATGCATAACTCGAACTTCAATGTAAAAGCTAACGAATTTCGGCATGCCGAATATCTAATACTCTTGCAGTTTTTAAGAGGTCTTAAGTCTGTAATCTTGATTTCGCTGAGGTTTAATTATTGAGTTTTTAAATGTGTTTTTCCGATTGATGACCATGTTTAATACCCCAAATGCCCAAACCAAAATCAATTGAAAATAATTAGTAAAACACCCATTTGATTGTCAATTGTCTAATAATACTAAATCGATTTCAATCATATAAATATTTGTGGGCAAAACAGAGTCAGGGCTCAGGAAGAAAATTAATCAGGCTATTTTCAATGTGAACAAATGACAATTTAAAAGCTGTTTTGCAAACCTAGAGAAATTCAATTAAATATTAATATAATAATAATTTCCTAAAATACAATGAAATTTAATTAATATTTTAAAGAATGAACTCTACTGCAAGTTTACATCTCTTTAGAAAAAAAATATTTATTTTTTATACATATTAATATACGTAACATTCATTGTCGTCTCATACTCACAACAAGTTCATTTGACTTTAATTTATTTGTTTTCCCATACAGATAAATGAAAATGAATTTATACAATCCAGTTTCTTTGCGGCAGGTCGATAAAATGATTTATATATTTATTTCAATGCAGCCAACTAAGAGCTAACAACAAAATGCATACTTAACAATAGAGAGTCAGCTTTTAGTCCATTTATCTGGCATTGCGTGCAACTGAAAAATCAAACGGAAAATCCGTAAAAAAAAAAGCATTTCGGAAATAGCTAACGGACTGACCAAAGCGTTCTCAATGCCATGGCCAATTAGTTGCTAGTGTTTGGCTCAAAAAGAATGTAGACCCCCTATATTAAAATACAGCAATTTTGCAGTTGTAGAAGTGTGCGATAAGATCTAAACAAGGTTTCAGGGCGAAATTCTAAACAGAAATCCAGTTGACCTTCGATCACCTTAACAAACCTGATATGTGGCTTAAGCAATAATGTTTTAGACTATATAACAGAGTCTATATAAAGGTTCTCTGAGCAGCCTTTTTCATTTAGAAGCCTGAGAATCCCAGTCTCTATGAACTCTATGAACTTTGTCTAATTGCCTTATACAAATACCTTCATAGATATCGAATTTCGTCACCAAGTCTAAAAAATTGAAGTCGTCTAATTTTATTAGCTATAAAAGTGAAGCATTGTTAGTGTCCCAATTTATTTTCACGAAAAGTAGAAATATCGATTTACAGCTTTGGTTTTGTTTAACAAGGATGGGATACACTTTTGTTGTGTAAACATGGAAAACTAAAAATAATCCATGGCAAACATTATCAAGAAAAGCAAAACAGTGAATCGATGCAAATGGAGCAATGAAATTATATATATAAATATTAATAATATATGTATTTATTACTCAAAAGATACATGTTCTATTACTTTTTTTAATATTTTATGTTATGCCGTATGAAACTCTGTGAGATTTATTCAGATTCAAAGAACTCTATTAAACTTTCTTGGGCGAAGCAAACGAAAGCAGTTCTTATTAGGATGCTAGTACTCTAGTTCTATAAGTTCTTTGCAAGAATTTACGCTAGAACTCGAGAACATTGGGATTAACTAAGTCTATAGACGTCTAGAAAATTTACTTAATATTTAATTTACTTTTCAGTTCATTCTATATGTTATAGTTGGCTGCACCTATTAAGCCTCATTGCAAGAACAGAACCAGATAAGACTAGCAGGAGTAGCAGGATTCATGTTCCTGCACAAGACTCTTTCTCTCTCTCTCTCTCTGTACAACATATCTAATCGTGTTCACATGCAGCAGCGCCAATTCGAGCTATCGAAATATGCATTCGAGTCATTCGCTTACGTAGTTAACATAGATCCTACTTCAAGATGCACTCGCCCACCCAGCATATTGCGTGTAAACCCATCCCTGTAGCCACAATACTACATACATGTACATGTATATCAGACAAACGAGTGCCTTTGCCAATTCTATCTAGTTCTAATCGAAACCACTTTGTTCCGCAACTCTGCAACGTCTTTTCGATGTCTTCTCATTGTAGAAATAGCTACCCTGACGCACAAGTTCACATCGGTGACGCTCTACAAGAACAAGACGGTGCGCTATGCCGCCCGGATGCACGCCATCATTGCCTGCCAGATGGAGTTCCAGCTGTATCCCATGGACATACAAGTGTGTCCCATTTACATTGAAAGTTGTAAGTGAACAGAACGATGGAGTCCCTCAATCGGAGTCGATGATTCAACTCGTTCATTTCCAGTTTCGTCCAATAACCAAAAGGTAAAGTTACGCTGGTCGGATTCGGGCGTAACGCTCAATCCGGAGCTGAAGCTGCTGCAGTACAATCTGGGCCAGCCGCTGGAGCTGGAGGAGAGCGATGGCTACATGCCCGAGAAGGTGGGCAACTTCTCTCGGCTCACCGTCTACTTTCGGTTCGAGCGTCAGATTGGCCACCATCTGATCCAGACATTCGCGCCCTCCTCGCTGGTCGTGATGCTGTCGTGGTTCAGCTTCTGGCTGGGTCTGGATGCCATTCCGGGTCGCGTCACACTGCTGGTCACCTGCATGCTGACGCTGGTGACAATGTTTACGGGGCTGCGAGCCGATATACCACCCGTTGCGTATGTAAAGGCAATTAACTAGCTCCTTCGTCCTCCAGCGCAAGACGCCAACTAATATGGCTTCCACTTTGCTTTGCATGCGACAGGCGCTGGATCTGTGGATGGCCGGCTGCATGGTCTCCGTGTTTGCCGCCCTGGCTGAGTTCGTGGTCGTCAAAGTGCTGGACGTGCAGTATCAGTACCAGGTGAATCGCATACCAAAGGTATTGCCCATGGTAAGCGCCGCTCTGGGCTCTGCCTTAATAAATACAAAACGTTTCTTTTATCGTTCCATGTCTTTGTGTCGGCACAGCGCATTAGCAATATGGAAAAGGGTCAATGTGCAACGGTGGCGAGCTGGGAGGGTGGCGCCGTACGGTCACGGAAGGCCACACAAACGCCGACGACGCCGGGCCAGGTGAGTTGGGGCCTTGGCACACATGCCACGCTCCTTTGGCCACATTAATATCGATAATCAAATCGAAGTCCATTATATAATTATATACGAATGTGAATCGTAATAATCTGTAACAATTATCTATAGACCTCACTGCAGGGCAATGGCGGTCCACCGAAGCCGGCGCGTCGCCAAAGCCTTTTGTCTGTCGCCTGGACGGACACGGACACGGGCGTCGAGAAGATAATGTGGCGTGAGATTGATAAGGTATCGCGCGCCGTATTCCCCATACTGTTCTTCGTCTTTGTCCTGCTGTATTGGCCCATCTTGCTGATGAAGTCCTCCTAGGATTTGGGGAGTTCCAGAATACACTTTTCTGGACTCCGTTAAAAAATCGAAACTCAACTCAACTAAACTGAAGCAGAACGCGGACTTACACAACGATATCCATGTGCTAGAGTGGCTTACTAGATATATATCTAGAGATACCCACACCCACACACACACACACGAATACATCAATGACTATGAGCATATCAACTCAGACCTGATGTGGTATCTATGAAGCTACCTTTCCATACTCGAATACTCGATTGACAGTTGCTCATCAGCATATACTCCCTTTCTCCCTCTCTCTCTACCTATATATACATACTTATATGTATGTATATTTATTTTGTTATTATTTAAACTTTTAACTAATAACTACTCTGCTTTGTAGTTATATTGCGCTAGCTAACTGGCAAATCAACTTATCAAATATCCTATTGAGAACTATTTTGTAATTCATAAAAGATAATAAGAAACTAAGCAAGAAACAGTTCAAACAAATTATAATAACAAATCCGTATCGGCTTACATATAGCTCGCTTTATGCCTAGAACATAACTTTTGATATACCGAAACTCTATCTATATACATATATTTTATTTGATTGATATTAATTAGCCTGGGATTGACTTTTATTTACTAACTATAGATAATAAATAGAGATACATATATATATATATATTTTGTATGCTTAAGGAAAATCAGCCAGAAAATAAATTGGTGCTTTGACGAGATAATAAAATTGATTGAGATAAACCTCTAAGGATCACGAAACATATATTTCATACACACACACCCAACTCGTAATGTAAATAAAGTAGTAAAAATGCTAATTAGGAATTTTTACACACTTGTATAAGATGAGTAAATAATTTAGCGCAAACTTTTGAGCTGTGGCTTTATACAAATATATATATATATTCATATATATATCTAACTGTAGCTAAAATAGCGCACACTCAATAAAAGCTAGGAATACGTACATCTATGTTAAATATATTTCATAGGGTTTACGAATTAAAAGGAAATCATATATTTTGTATATCAAAAATTGCTGTAAATATAAAAAATATTATAATAATTCATCTTCACAGAGATACTTATTTATCGTAGATCCAAATATGATATTTGTGTACATAAATTTCCATTGGTTAAGTTTTTTTTTCGCAGAGGTTTGTTTTTTTTTTTAGATATATATATACAGAGAATCGAAACTGTTTATTATGCTCTATTAAATCTAACCTCAATGCTTAAAACATATCTAAAATAAAAAGTATTCAAATATGCATGTAAAGCCAGTAAATAAATAAAGCCAATTTGAACACAAAATAAAGACAAGATTTCATTAAAATTACATTTTAATATCCGTATTCGTACGATCTATATAACAACAAGATTAACTATTCTACACTCCGTCAGACTCCTCACTGTTTTCTTCTGCTTCCTCGTCTTCTTCATCGCTAAACTCGCATTCCTCGTCTCTGTCCGGTTTACTCTTTATCAACATCAATTCATCATCACTATCCGCATCCATTGGCACGTCTTCTGTTTTCGCTGCCTCCAATTGCTCCGCTCTGTCCAGGAGCACTCGTATCGTGTACTTGTTGTAGTCACATCTGGAAGCGCATTCATAAGTGTTAGTCAACAAGCTAAGACCCCCTAGGCTAACGACTTACATTTTGTTGAGCATTTCATATTTACGCGAAATACTTTCGTGTAGGCCAAGCAGAGCCGCGTGCTGGAAGACGCCGTCGCGATTGCCGTGGGTATTCAGCAGGCAACAGCTCCAATGTAAATAGAACTCGATGTGGGGCGAGGACTGCAGGAGGCGCGCCAGATGTTGCAGCAAACGTGGGGCGATGTCGGGCGATAGATCCGCGCAAAGTAGCTCAACTGTAAGGAATGAAGACATCGTTTCGTTTCAATATATGCAGCCACGTGCTGTAGGCCAATGGCAATCAATTTACATATTTCATTGTTGCTGCTTTTGCCGTTTTACTGTTTCTGTAAACATTGTTCAATTTGTGGGACCCATGTCAGTGGCCGAGGGGCTTATTAACAATCTGGCTATACAAATAGTTCCGCCTGTCAAACGCTAACCGGTCATATTAAAGCACAAAGAACCTTGAAACTGTTTATTAACAGCAAAAAAGAACTAGAAATTTGCACATTCGATCCGAATGGAGTTGGGTAATAAGCTCCTTGAATATAAGGGGTAAATCCAACTTGCATTTATTTTTAGACATGCGAAAAATGCTAAAACGGCTATCGATTATAAAAATTTTAAAAAGAAGTGAGAACAAGGCAACAAAAAAATAGCCTGACTGACTCCCTTGGCAAGGTCGAACTGTGTACAGAGGTAACTTTTGTGCATTTTTGCATAGTATTCAGGTAATTTACGAGCACTTACTATCCCTGTGTGGCACGCGTTCCAGCACTAAGGTCACTAAATTGGTCTCGTTCAGTTTCAAGGACATGACGAGCGCCTTGCTGAACTCCTCGCTCTTAAGGGCCTCGTGTACCGCCTTAGGTGTCACTTCCAGCGTCAAATCAAACGGATCGAATACCACGCCTATGAAAAATAACAAATTATTTCAACAAATTACAATAATAACTCTAGTTAGCCGATTGCTCACCCTTGTCCAGGGCATATATGCAAAGTCCTTCGGTGCCTGCAGCGGCAAATGCTTGTCCCGTGGGTGAGAAGCGAACGCAGAAGACACGCACCTCAGGCTGAAAACGTCTTGAGGACATATCGCCCTTACGCACGCCCGGCAAACGAATCGCCACATTGCCGCCCTCGCCCTGCTCACGTCGCTCTATCAAAGCCATATTGCCAAACTCACTCAGATGCTTGCGGCTAATGAAATCCTATGAAATGTAATATGGAAATTGCTATCAAGTTCTATTTACATGATTTATCCCTACTCACATTTAAGCCATCCAAACTGTGATTTTGTGTTATTTCAAATTTCTTTAGTAACAACGCCTCTTGCACGTGATATATGCAGATGTAGACGGATTTGCCAGCAGCTAGAATGCATTCTCCATCCGCTGAATACTCGATGGTAGAGAAATAGCTGAAAAAGAGAATTCGTTAAAAATCATTTGATATACCATTAAGATATCTTTACCCACTTCGCCTGTGCATTTTTCTTAGCAGTTACTATATCCGTCTGCAATCGACCGCCGCCCAAATCATTGCGTCCCTCAATTGAGTTCACTTGTGTCGCTGATTTCACATCAAAGATTAGTATGTTGCCAGCAAGCGTTGCGACGGCGATCTGGATAAGCACATAAAACATTAAGACTTTGACACAAATAGATTTTATATCTAATCCATTCACCTCTTCTCCGCTGGGAGAGAATGCTACGCATATGACATCAGAGATAGCATCAATTGTTTCGTGCTCACTATTGCTCTCCAGGCAATTCCAGACCTTCACAGTTTTATCCCAAGATCCAGAGATGAGTGTCGAAGAAGTGGCCACAGGCGAGAAGGCCACAGATGTCACTGGGCCCTCGTGACCGCTAATTACCTCCAGAAGTTTGCCCGTCTTGATCGACCACAAGAATATATCGAAGACATCCTGACCACCGGCAACAACCAACTCTCCCGAGAAGTCAATTGCAACGCAGGCGAACTGAGCAGGAGTTGGCGATGTGAATGTCCTGAAGTTACGGTATCTACACAAATGGAAATTAAAATTAGTTGAAATTGATGAATTGAAGTACCATTAAATCCGAGCAGACCTTATTATATCGAAAGCACGCACTGTGCCGTCCAGTGAGCTGCTAACCAGGAACTTCTTATTACGGCTGAACTGTACACCGGTCACGCCACTCGTGTGCTCGCTGAAGGTCACGAAGCAGAAACTGCTTTGGGTGTTCCACAGCTTTACCTTGGAGTCGTCGCCGCCTGTGGCAATGTATTGGCCATCTGGCGAGTAGGCTATGCAGGTCATATCGCTGCTGTGGCCCTGCTGCTTCATGATGTACTGCTCACTCTGCCACTCCCACACCAGCAGTTGGCCGATTTCGCGTGAGGCCAGCGCAAGCCAATCGCCAGTGTTATTGAAGAGGGCCGTCGATATGGGGTAGTCGGAGATGCTCAGCGAGTGAATCATATTGACATCGGGCAGCTCGTACAAATAGAAAGCGCCCGTGCTAAAGCCGACCACCAACACCTTCGTATGTCGATTGTAGTTGGCCGCCGTTAGCATCGCATCGCGTTTCTCCTTGCGCGGCTCGTTGGCTAAATAGTGCCGACCGAGCTTTTTGTAATAGAATGGATGGGACTTACGTACGCCTTCGTCTTTCACCTCGTTCTGGTCATCGGCTAATGGATAGGACTTATGTACGCCTTCGCCTTTCACTTCGATCTGATCATCGGCTTCTGCTTCCTTTTCCATATTGCCTTCGATATCATCTTCGGACTCACTGTCTGATCCCCTAAATGGATTTAGAGTGCATCGCTTTGCAAATGGCTGCGCAGGTTCCTCCTTAACTTTTTCGACTTCAATTAAGTCCGATGGCTCCAAGCTACATTCCCATAGACAGAGTTGTCCATTCCGGCTGATGGTGTTCAAGTGCAGGCTGTTCAATTCGAAAAAGCACGATACAATGGCATCCGTATGTCCGCTTAGGTTATACGTTCGAAAGTTGAGCATGTGATTTATGCCGCATATTTTAGTGGAGCTATCGCGAGAGCCAATTGCCAGGAGCTTGGAGTCTGTCGACCAATCTAGCCACGTGATATCGTCGAAGCTCCCAATGAAACTACGCTTCAGTACGAACGGATTGTATTCGCCAGTTATTTCACCCGGAGAGCAAAATATTAGCACAAGATTCTCTCGTGCGACCGCAAAGTATTTGCCATCGGGACTGAAGGTTATGCACTGCACGCCCGTTTGGAATTTATGCCTATGTATCACCGTGCAGGAGACCATACTTATCAGCTGTGCATTGCCTTGCTCATTGACAGCGATCAACATGCTGCCATCTGGAGATAACGCAATGTTTGTGTAGTTGTAATAGGACTCCAAGGACAAAGTGCGCGACTTGTTGCTGAATTAATAATAAAGTAAGGCATATATTACTGTGTATCTATAACAAGCGTGAGTTGAGAAACATACTTCTTGAGATCATACACCGTTATCCGGTTGCCCACAGGACTGATAACTGAATTGCCATCAGGCGTGAAGGCCAAGTTTCCATTGCGATAAATTGTGCCCAACAAATTCGAAAACTGCAAATATATAAACCTGAGCAACATATATTTTTAAGATGGTGAATTACTACTCACTTTGTAAGAAAACTTCATATCGCACAATTAATTTATAGCTTAACGAATTGAAATTCAGCCTTTAAGCGGTAACTATAAACAAAAAGCACTGCACGTGTTAACCGGTGGACGCTGAAATACCAATAAATCGATATACAAACACTATCGATATTTGTAGTATTTATTGGCTATTTGGGGAATCAGCTGATAAAAACAGAGCTGCCATCCCTTGTCAGTTTATTCTGTGAATTTCATACAACTACAAAGAAGATAGAGCTTGGTGAAATTGACAAATAAATACAAATTTGTTGTAAATAAACAATGGAAAAAGCAAAAGGTGCGTCGGATAAGTTAGCCGAACGTAAGGCACGCTTACTGGAACTGCACAAACAGCGCCAAGAGGCGCGCACACAAAACCACCAAGAAGTCGTCGCAGAAGACGCACGCAAAAAACTGCCAAGCAACTGGGAAGCACGCAAACGACAAGCAGAATGGCTGCTCGCAGATGAGAAAGCACGCGCCGATGCAAAGGCTGCTGGCAAGGATTACGAGCGTCTGCAGCTGCTGCAAGTGTCCGCCATCGATGCGGAGCGCATAGAGAAAAAGAAGATACGTAAAGATAATCCCGACCTGGGATTCTCCACATACGAAGCGCAAACTGCGCGACAATACAATCGTTTGGTTAAGAATATGCCCCCTCGCGATATGGCCAAATATGAGAAACAGAAGGCTGAGCTGGGCGACGCATTTTATGGGGGCCCTCACACGACGATCCATTTGCAAACGAAGGACACTCCTAGTGCTATCAATAATATGGTTAAAGACCTAGAGCAGCAAATCGATCGCAGAAAGAAATATTCCAGACGGCGCATTTATAACGATGACGCCGATGTGGACTTCATTAACGAACGCAATTCGAAATTCAACAAGAAGTTGGATCGCTTCTACGGCGAACATACGGCAGAAATCAAACAAAATCTGGAACGCGGCACGGCTATCTAAACCTCATTTTATAGCAAATAAGACAATTTTAATGTAAAACATAGTCTCTAAGTTTGTTTGTACCTAATACAAAAAATATATATATAAATATGTACTTGTCTATGCAACAATCGTTGAGCCTTGTTAATTTTTAGAAACACTATGTATTCCGAGTGAGAAGATGCTGCAAAAAAAAAAAAAAAATAGAGCGCCTGTCGATCGGCTTTATTGTGCCCCTTATAAAGGCAAGGTGCTGAAGCATTTCTTCAGTCGCTCCTGAGCTGCTGGTAGTTGGACGTGTGCTGCTGTGCTCCTCTACTCTTTATACCCGCTCTCCTCGAACTAGTTCTTTCTGTGCTCGCTCTCCTTGGAGTTGCTTGAAATTTTATAATTTATGAGGATTATGAAGAGGATATGTCGTGATCACGATCCTTTTGTAATAGCACTAACCAGTTTGTTTGCTTGATCAGTGGTAATATAATGTAATATTCAAAATAAATACTGCGGTACTGTCAACGAATACCAACAATTATACTTAAATACTAAATCCTCAGTATTTATTAATACCATTTCGCTTAAGCTTTGTTTCATTTTGTACTAGCCCCAATAGTCGTCATTATTGGTACATTATCATTTCTCTCCATTTTCTTACGGTGTAATATGGTGTTTTATCCAGGCCATAGACACCATGAACAATTTTAGCGGACGTGAAAAGTATTTGATATCAAATACATTGAACTGCTTGCCTATAATACTGCAAGGACGTGCTGTACTTATAGATCTACGAAATGAGACATCCGTGGCGGGGATCATTAGCATTGCCGATGGCCACATGACATGCGAACTAACCGATGCGGTTTTCATTGATCGTAATGGGCAATGTCATGCATTCGATAACTTTCTGATACGCAATCGAATGATTCGGTTGTTGCATGTGCCCGCGGATCTAGACATCAAGCATGAGCTCTCCCAGCTGCTGCGCAAGCCGGCTAGCAGAAACAAAACGAAGACCAAGCGCACCTTCAAGCAGAAGCGGGCAGAGGAGCGGCACAAGGAAACTCTACAGATTATTAAGACCCAAAGAGTGGCCGATAAGCCGCAGGAAACATAAAAATAATTTAGATTATAAATAAAATATATTTAACAATTACTTTAGTTTAGTATTTGTATTCCCTTCTCATATTTATTTATTTGTTATACAAATAGCAGATATAAAATATTACTTGGACTCCTTCTCATCCTTGTACTTGTAATGCAACTCCATGCAATCTGTTTCTGAAATTTTAACCCAGCCATTTTTGGTCATGTGATATACACGGATGATACCGCCCGAGTAAGCATCACGGAACGTTGCATGGTAGATGGCACGGCGACCCAACTCCTGTGCTGCAGCATCTTCCAAATCCCAATGATAGCCAGAATCAAGAACACCAAATGCGTAAATGGAGCCGCTGCCAACTGAAAAAACATTGCCGGGAGTGCGTGATCCTTCGGAATCCACATAGTAGAGGCCAGGTCCGCGCTTATCATAGCCAGCCAACATCATGCCCATGCTAAGGCCCATACCCTTGTACTCATGGGCAATGTTGGCCATGATCTTACTGGCGGCAGCCACTGAAATGCGTTCCTTGTTGCGTAGCTCGTGCAGGCGGCATTCCTTGGATAGCACGCGATCCCAGTACACACAGTCGGCAGCACCGCCGGCCAATGTACCAAGCAAAAATTGGTTTATTTCCACAATCTTTTTCATCGACTGCGATCCTATGTATTGGCCACCAGTAGCACGCGAGTCTACGGCCAAGATGACGCCGCCTTGGTACTTAAAGCCCAGAGTTGTGGTGCCGTGATCAAAGTTGATCTTAATGCCGGTTTTATCACCATTTGCTTGGATTTTATTCAAGTTCTCAAGTGGCTGAATAACGAATAATCGTTAATAACAATAGTTTATATTTTCTTTCGACTTACATTCTCGAATGGGGGAGCCGCCAATGTGTATGGATTTGCAATGTTGCAGGTGTATGCATTCAGCTCGTCCTCTACTTCACTCGAAGACCAGGCAGATGGCTTCATATATGAAGCATTGGAAATTTTGCAAATTTCTGCCAGTGCCATTTTATTTTTAATAATATCCTTGCTTTAGTTGGCGACGCAGAAATTAAAACTTATTTTGTGATGAGATGACACAAAATTGACAAAAATTACCCAGCACTGGAACAAGCATGTTTATGGGCACCCTTAAATCTTTAACATTAGCCGAAATGTTATTAACAGCGCGCGCTCCAAAGTTCATTATCAAAATTTGTTGTTACTCAATTTGTTTTCAAATATAAGTTTAGATAGCAAAGTTACTTGTGAAACTTTACACACAGTCCTTGAAACCACAAAAACTTTCTATTTAAATAATAAAGTTATTCTTTTAAACATTTGTAATGTTTCATGATAACTGATTTCGATAACATAAAATACTGATGATCTCTCGATAAGTTTAACTGATAGGTGGCAACCATATACAAAACCTGTTGCCAATTTTGCAATTCGCCTCAATTTTCTCTTCTATTTTCCTTTAAGCCTGGCTTAAAGCCAAATTAACTCTGGGCGTACACAAAATGTTTCTCATTGCCAATTGTTAATTAAAGTTCGTCATTTTCAATTAAATAAGAAAATATAAGCTCCGGAAGTAGCGTGTAACTTTTAACGGATCAAAATCAAACATCGAATAAAGCTGTAAATTGTAAGAATGTGTGTTAATTCGCTTCAAAGCGGTCAACCTCAATTAGCAAAATATTGTACATTTATATGTGCATATGTGACAATAATTAATAGGAAATGTAATTAAATCATATATAAATTGCAAAAGAAGTAGATCTTATTAGAGAAATTGTTAAGAAAAGCTCGAAATATTTAAATTTGTGCGTACAATGGCATGCTGTGTGAATGTGTGAGTGGGTACGTGCGTGGATTAGTGTTTGTATGTAATCCAGTACACGAACAGCGCAATGAGTTTCTACTACGCACAACATACATACATACACGAACTTGTAATAAAACTTGGTTAATTGACTTTTGACAATTGAGACGTCTTTTTATATTTGGGTTTATCTTCAGACAATGCAGCATGGATCACAATTTGAAGCAGGAAGCATTGCCGAATGCCATTTCCGGGGTAAGTACGAAAAGAAATCGTATCGGTGCTTGATATAAATGTGTATTGTTGTGTAAATTACATCTTTTAGCATGACTCCAGAAACTGGACGGCATTGCACGAAGCCGTTGCGGCAGGCGATGACAAACGAGTGCAAATCCTGCTGTCGAGCAATGCGGATCGCCTGGCCAGGGAATCGAGTCAGGGCAACACACCGTTGCACGAGGCGGCCAGTCGAGGGCTCAGTCGTTGCGTTAAGTTGCTCTGTGCCCCGCCGACCACCAAGACGCAGCACAAGGAGCAGAAGAGCCGGCTGAAGACGCGGGTAGCAAACACGATCGAAGCCCTGCACAACAGCACGCTGAGCATGATTAATAATGAGGGCTTAACGGCGCTTCACTTGGCTGCTCAAAAGGGTCACAATCAGAGCTCCAGAGAACTGCTGATGGCCGGAGCAGATCCCGATGTGCAAAACAAGGTAAGTCATATAATCCTTATTCAATTAATTATTATCTATTAATTGGCTTTCATCCCTTTTTTAGTACGGCGATACTGCGCTGCATACCGCCTGTCGCTACGGCCATGCAGGCGTCACTCGGATTCTCCTTTCGGCCTTGTGTGATCCCAATAAGACGAACCTGAACGGGGACACTGCACTGCACATCACCTGCGCCATGGGTCGGCGAAAGCTAACGCGGATTTTGCTGGAAGCAGACGCTCGTTTAAATGTGAAAAATGCACAGGGCGACACGCCTCAAAGCATTGCGATCAGAAAGAATTATCGCGAAATCAATGAGATTCTAAGCACTCCAAAGCGTATACGTAATCGTAGAGAGAAGCCAAAAGATAATGACAAATCGGCGCCGGCTCAGGACAAGGACAAGGATAGTGTGGATAAGGCAATCAATTGGTCGCCCTATGGCTGTCACTATTTTCCTGATCCGCGCTCATTTCCATCGCCCAAACTGGAAACCTTACCCAAAGAGCCGCTGAAGCAAGGCGAACAGTATTTCCTTGACCTCGCCGGTAACATACACAAGGGCCCAGTCAGCGTGGGCAACACATGCTATTGCGGTCCCTTCTTCCGGCATATAGAGAATAAACTGAACTGTAATCGGAAGAGCTTGAAGAAGTATGTGCACAAAACAAAGGAGCGGCTGGGCCACAAGGTTCAAGCGTTGGCAATCAAGACGAACGATCAAATCGAGCAGCTGACCCGAACCATGATCGAGGATCGCATTCGCTGTGAGAGCAAGCGACTTTATCTCAATGAATACCTGCGCCGCGGAGAGCCATTTCGATCCACCTACGACACTCAAACCAAAAGTCAAAGGGTCGAACGCACATTGTCTCGATGTCGCAGCTTGGACTTGCTTGAGAGTAATTTCGAGAGCGGCAAAATGTCCAACTCGAAGAGCGTTGACATTCTGGAGAACGAAAATCAAACGGTTGTCGATATCGTATACCATTCGCAGTCGCAGGAGGCGCAGGCTGAGTGCGACTCAAATGAGGATACCCAATCGAATTCGAGTATGGGAGTAACAGAGAACCGAAATGATGTAATGAGTGCAGCTGCTCTATCGACAGCAGAGGAGAAGCTGAAGCAAACGAAATTGAATGAACTGAAGCAGGACTTTCTCAAGGTGTCGGAGCGACTTGGAGATTTGCTAGAGAAGACCACTCTCATCATGGAGCGAGACAACGAGCAGGAGAATAAACGCCAGCTCTGCTCTCTGTCGCCAGAGCAAAGTAATCCATCCATGTACACTCCAGAGAATCCCTGCCACATGCTGGACAATAAGGAGAACGCGAATAGTCCCAGCTACGATGAGTATACAAATGTACAAAGACGCTATCCCAACTCAAGCGAAACGTCAAACCCGTCTCAGAACTCAAACAGTTGGGAGTTCGAAACGACGCCGCCGGACGCCCAGAGGTATTACCATTGCATTGGTCGCGGTGATAATATGTTGAACACGGTGATCAAAGCACTCCGAAAAGATGCCACCTTCGCGGAGCACAACAAGGACGACGTCACCTTCAATCAGAATGATAGAGATCGAGTCTGCGGCGACAAGTTGTTGTACAAGGAGCAGGCTCAAAGCACACCATCTCCATCGCCATCGGCGTCGTGCAGCACAGATGCCGTATTTCATGCGCAACAGGCACACCCAAGATCCATGCACAAATCCATATCGAATCTGATGAAGCGGCAACCACTTTGCTTGGAGGATAACTACGCAGTCAATGCGAACCTCTACAACTCCAATGGCTTGAGTATTGCCCAAGCCAACATTCCACATCACGCAGCTGGCGGCGTGCATATCAGGCAAAACTCCAATGAAGCCGCGGGGAAGGTTGAGATTAGGAACAGCGAAATAAAATACCTAAAGAAATCGAATACGGGCCAAGTCAAGGACATGGTGGCCCAGCTGCAGGGCAGGATTGATTCCAACATGCAGTTCGACAATGACGTTGGCTTGAGCTACGACTTGCCGTACTCACACATGGTGGCGCCACAGTTGAACAACAATCTGCATAGCATAGCTAATCCTGAAAACGCTGGTCAACTGCCGTTGCCGAATCCTTCGTCTCTGTATGCGGCGCACGTGAGAAAACCGCAATATGCGCCATACGGTGCAGCTGAGAGGCACATACCCAAAGATGCTTACTTTCATGATCTTCCCAATCGATCAAGAAATCTGCAGAGAGCACAAAACGTTTACTCCGGCGATTCGAGCAGCGTCAGGCTGCCAGTTGGCTATGCGGGACAGCAAGAGTTTCGCACACCCAGTGCCCAATGCCAATCCCAGTCCCAGTCCCAGTCCCTCCATCTGCAGCCACTTGATCATGAGCCTCTGCACGCGGATTTCGTAAGCCGAGCACCCGCTCTGGCTGACAGCAATCAGCTGCAATATGCCCACGGTAATCTGGCGCAAGGCGTCAGCTCAATGCGATCCCAGGCTATGGTCTTTCGAAGTCAACTCCCGCACAATGTCCTAAGCAGCGATGTCGATCTCGACGTGGATGAAATCGCATCTGTGGGCGTATACAATAACGTTTCCAGCTTGGTTTGAAACACATGGAGCAAGTTAATAATTAATGTAAATAATATAATTGTGCAGATTTTGTAGCTACCATTTTGTAAATAGTTGTCACAATGTATTTATCATAATTATTATTTATATGTATGTATTTATATATTTATGTTATCCTGTTAGTTTGTTGCACTCAGCCAGATGTTTGGCAGACCAAATTCTGGACACGGCAACGTTTAACAGTAATAATATTTTTGTTTAGAATTCGCAGCATTTGTTTTTGGCACTATTTGTTGTCTGAAAATATATGTATATGTGCATGTATGTGTGTATGCATGTACTTATTCTGTAGGTTTTCATTTTGTATCTTCACTTAGGCGTATCAACTATGAATAACTACGTATTAGAGTTATTATTGAATTAAAATATATTTTCTTTAAAAAATTTTTAATATAATAGTATTAATGTATGTGTAAATATCAGAATGTCAAGTACATATTTATTGATAACAGATCGTTTTGGTGTTTTGATAGACATGCGGCTTTCGACATTGTAAATCATAAAAATCAATTTTCGAATAATAAAATATGTATACAAATTAACTAATGATGACAACTTTGATATCATTTAACTACATATAATTTGCTGGCTTTGCTTGTTAATGTTGTTTTCTTTTGTTTAGCAATTTCTTAAAAATGGTTTCTCGATGTTTAATCATTAATTGAAAATTCTATAAATGATGTTGCAGCTGTTGTCTGGGCACGGCTGTTGCTGCCTTCTGATTACGTACACTTATCGGCCACTTAATAATATCTTAATTCTGAATAGTCGAATTACGTGTTACAAGTCAGCCAATAATTTATTCGCTTTCCATGTAGCCTAATATAAAACTATTAACATTATTTATGATTTTGCATTCAATTTGAAAATGTTTTTGCTTTCTTTCTTTCATTCGTTCTTGGCTTTAATGAAATGAGTGTCGATAACCCGGCTCTTCTCAATTTAACTTAACAATATTGTTGGTCTTTCGACAGCAGGGATGAGTTGTTATGCTCGCTTGGGACTTTGCAAGTTATATGAATATATTTTAGATCAGGTAATGTCTCAAAGGGGACTATTGTCCGAGTCTTCACGCTCTTGGATTGTTGTAATGCTTTGCTGCAAGGCATTCGGCGTAAGCCACTCTCTGAAATAGACGAAAAGTCAAAATTAAATTTATTTAAATCTAATCGAATCTAATCTTAACGCGGCTACTCACTTCGGTAGGCATCTTTGTAAAAATGGCACACAGGAGCTGAAATGTGCTAGACGGTTCACCCAGCTGGGTATCTCTTGGCCGCAAAGTATCTGAGGAAAAAAGTGGGAGAGGTATTACAATGGGTATTCGGTTCGTTTAAAGTCAAGACCGTGTGCCAAACCTGTGTCAAGTTGCCCGAAAAGTGATTACAATTATTGTTCATAAGATGATAACGATCTCCGCGAAATTGATTGCCCAATTCCTCAACAAGTCGACGCACTTCCTCATATGTAAAGTCGGTACAGCCAATTTGAATGCTCTGTCGGAATTGGAATTGTTCGCCCAGTTCGTCGTGGTCACGCGGTGTGATTTCGAAGACACCAGTAAAAGGAAACGGATGGCCACCGTATGCAAACTCGGTGCCAAATGCTTCTACGCCGGAATGAAATACGCCAAGACCAATTGATGTGGTATATTCATTAATCCAGTACTGCGAGCACAAACAAAAAATTAATCAAATTAATTAACCTTATTTAGCAATCATAAATCCACTTACCATGTCATATACGTTAAGAATAACAGGTTCTCTTGTGCCCATATTGGATGGCAAGAGCTCCTCATTACCATCTTTTGGTACACTTAGGCAGCTCGGAAACGACAGGTTGCACGGCAGCCCGTTGGAGAACATTGATTAAATGCGTTGTTGGTTTTGCTTTCTACACTATAATCAAGAAGTAAAGATCTACGAAATGAGTCAATAAATTGTGACAAAGTATCCGAGTGAATAAATTTTGATCAATTTGGCTTAGTTTTGCAATTTCGACTCGAACTCAAATGCATTTGCACTGTTGTACGCACTTGTATTTAATTGCGATTGTTTATATTTACATATAAATGCACAAAAGTACACTTTTCTATGCACATATGTTCAAGTGCATACATACATATGTATACATGATATATATACTGAATCAGTTCCATTCTCATGCATACACATACTCACACCCACACACACACAAACAAACACATACGAGCATTCATCTTTTTGTGTTACAAATGTGTCATACCAGCAACTTACACGAAGTACAGGACGCTAATATCCCATAATCCAGTGGAAGCTACAAATTTGTAATTGACCAATGTTAAGAATTTTGCATTTATTGTTTTTATTTACTTCTGCGTCTGGCTTAAGTTTATACACAAAATTTTTTGTTGTTTATGGATTGATTGTGTAGAGTTGTGTCGGCCCAGTTTAGTACCGTTCACTGAACTAATTTTATCGAACCACTGGACTTGGTTAATCGATTGCACAATTCGAGCAAGTATCGAGCTTATTTTCATTCCAAAATCGGTTATTTTTAGCTTTATAATTAATGTTAAATTTATGATTTGTTATGTTAAATTTTAATTGATGAAATTATTATTTAATGAGCTATAAAATAATAAATTTCCTATTTTGAATAATTCACATACACAGACATCGTAATTTTGTCAAACTGTATTAATTTGTTTTGAATATTATATAAATATTTAGTATATAAAATATTAATATATTTAAATATATTTTAATTTTATTATAACAATTTAAATTGTATGCTTCATTTAGAAATAAAAACCAAACCGAATTTTAAATATTTATGTCTATATAATAAAAATTAAGCTCTGTTGGCAAAGGACGATCCTTCAGTAGATAAAAATCGAGGAAGTACACTCCTTTGGAATCTAAAATAAACAAACATTATTCTAAGGAGGACGAACAGCTGTTGTCAGTTAGGAGACATATAGACAACTATGTATATATATTTAAACGGAGATACGCATTAACCTGTAAGTGTTTGGCATTTCTGCGCATGTCAAAGATTTGATTTGATTCAAACAAACAACACGTGCTTACTGCAGAAGCTTTTGGCGTCAATGAGAGGACAGAAAAATAAAAAAATATTGCCGGCTCTCCCAGTCGTTGGGGTCTCTCATTCACTATCTATGGACTGAGTGCTTGAGCACACACACACATACATCCTTGCTCAATAACTGGCGGTGGCCTATTCCGTGACTCTCAGTCTTGGTTGAGCGATGCGGAAGAACGGTTAAGGTTGAGTCATCCAAGAGGACCTTCAAAAAAAAAAAAAGTGCAGCAAATATTAGTGTAGAGATAAAAAAAAAAGAAAAGAAAAATAGAAAAATATAGATAAAGGCGTGAAAGCATAGTTCACAGCATAAATTATAATGTATAATATAAAACATACATATAAAAATTATAATTAATAAATTACTATAGATACATATATGTGTATAAATATATTGAAATCATTTTTTGTTGAAGTGCATCAATTAAACACTTTAAAGATAAATTGTGAATCTTTCGTTCGGGCAACAATGTGAAGACAAGTGTGAAAATGGAAAATTCGCCGTCCAGTTCCATAGAGAAGCAAATCGATCATTTTCTGGAGCATTTCAAACGCAGTGCATCCAAGGCCATCGACACGGAGTGGGGCAGCGGCTCGGATATCAACAATGGACCGTCTAGCAGCAGTCCGCAAAGGCAGCCTCCACTGCAGCGCCTGCTGCAGCGCACCAAGAGCAGATCCAGCTGCCTAGATGTCTCAGAGCTGTCGGGTAGGTATCCCGAAAGGTTTTCCCTAGACTGAGCTGAGCGCAATTTAGTTCTAGTTCGAGTCATCATTATTTATTCCTGCCAACTCAAGGCTGCGTCTACCGCCCTTACTCCACCCATCGACCTATACATATTTATTGATTTTCCGTATTAATCGTCGCAATAGCATTTCGTTCGCCTTTAATGTCACGGCCCAAACGGCGATTCCGGTGAAACTTGATTTGTTTGTGTGAATGCTTTGAGTTGAACATCAACATAATGTATTAAGACAACAAATGTCTTGGGCACGCCCATACTCCACATATGTTAATTATATCTTAGCTATGCCAAGAAATTGAATACCTTTTTGTGTGCATAGACTGATTGGTTCTACGTCCCGTCGTCGGCATATTGCATATTCTTCTCTCATTTAGCTGCACTTAAATGGCCGCTCTTATGAAATGCACACTTACATACCTACATACGTGTTAAGTGTTTGTATGTATGTACACCTACCTACCTATGTACTTAAATGCCTCCAAGTGTTACCCTCGTTTGCATTTGGTGCACCCGTTGCAAGTGGGTTTCAATTTTAATTTAGGGTAGACGACGCTTATTGCTAATCTCTAGTTCTAACGATTCTCATTTGTTTTTCTTGTTCTACTCTATTGTTTTTGCCTGTTGCATTATTTAATACCCACACTGGAATTCATGTGACCTTGATTCTTAATTGTGTTTTGTAAGAAAAGACTTTAAAGAATGAATAGGTTTGTCACATAAATTACTTTGATTATATACACATTGATATTGTGTACAATTTATAGTAAGTAAGTGTATTTATAGTGTAGTAAATGTATTCTAAATGTTGGGTTTGTATTTGCTTTTGATTGCTAGTATTTCTCCATTTTCAAATTATGGCGCCCTTTTAGGATATATTAATACTGCCGATTGCTAACAAAAAATAAATGTTAATTTATATCAATAAATGTTAATTTATATAAATTAGGAGTTCTTTGACTTATTTTAATTAATAAAATTTTCTTGAGCATACATAAATGATAGTTATTTGAATTCGTTATTTTCGAATTATGAATTTTGAGTTTTGCATTCAACAGCTGTTTTCTGTTCTGCTACTGATCTTGTTATCGATAATAACAAGTTACAGTGGAACTAGTAATTTGCTGTTAAAATTTGAACACAACTCGATGTTTTTACTAAAAACATCCTTTAAATGAAAGAGCCTTTTGTTTTAAAAGTTAGGATTTAATGTATTCGATTACATTAAAAAATAATAATGGTCTTTCATTTGTTTTCATTTAGTTAGCGGATCAAACATTTTCTGCTCACTGTTAAGTAACAGCTCAGCTGATGTTAATGCAAATTTTTCTGTTATGTATTTATATTAGTTCAGCTCTTCTTCTTTTGTGTAAAATATACATATACCCGGTGCATAGTTGAAATATACAAATAATGTTTTTTATCTGTCGAGATACGTGTGTAAGCGTCAGTTTTCAGATGATTTGTGTTGCGCGTGTGTTACCTAATCTTGCAAATGCATAATATACAATTAGATATATTTATATATATCAGCATCATATGTGAATTTATGTATGAATATTTATGTACATACATACATACATTTATCTTATGTGTATATGTATCCAGTGGACAGTTTTGTGAATCGGTGATTGGTTCTGCGTACAATGGATATTATGCGTAAATATTCCAACAATTTAGTTTTTAGCTATTCATGAGTATATATAGACCACTTAAATTTGTTCCAAGTGCACAAACGACCTTTCAATACAAATCATGCATAATATTATGTGCACATATGTAAGTACTCTAGCCATATAAAGTATGAAGTATATAGGGGCATTGTAACTTCCTAACCGCCCTCATTGCCAAACAGATATGCTAATTATCAAGAGACAGTCGAAAAGGCAGATAACAAAAGTTGAATATTTGATAAGTTTACAGCAAAATGGATTCTTTTCATTGTTATTTACAACGACACCTAAAGGTTTACTCATCATTTATAATGGTTTTTGTCTTAAGCACATAGTATTTGCTTTACCTATCACCTATTGGGGATCAATGCCCAATGCAGACGCAGTCATAATGGATCGGGCAATTGGTAATTACTCATATATGTATATAATTATATATATTGTATATGTATAGATATTGCAAAACATTTGATGACGTTTATACCCATATATTTGTCACGAATATTTTTTATTGTCATTTGATCAATACTCAATTAACAATTTCTCAATATTCAACTGTATAATTAGCTTTTTGTGTATACTATAAAGTATGTATATTATAAAGTATATGGGCAGTGAGTGTTTTAAATCAGTATTTAAACTGTTATTAAACAAGTGCTTGTTATATAGTATTTTCTAGATGGGTCAAGCCGGTGATCTTTAAATGTGAATGTCAATCACAATATATGATAGACAACATCAAGTCTAAAGATTGAGCTCTAACTTATAGAGTGAGTTTAATGTAGCGATGTTACCCTCTACTAATTGATAATTTGTTAGACAAATTCTAGTAAACATATATCCTATATATATTTATCATACATATATGATATACATTTATGACTAAGACATTTTATATTATTCATTTCTTTGAGTCCCTATATTATTTACTATCTCAAACTTCACACTTCTTAGCCTTTTAGACGTAAGTAAATACATTTTGATTGATATTTATAGGTATTACGAGTAGTATTTGTGTAGTATAATAAATTATATATACTAAAGACTTACTTTAAAAGCAGGCTAAAGAAATTCTTTATGAAAATATAAAAATCTATAGCTCTTAAATTCTTGTGGCATTTCTTTTATAAAGCAAAACAGTTATTGTTGCCAAAACTAAATTTTTGTTTCTCCATATCATGATAATAATATTTTACCCAGCAAAATTGACCAGTTAAGCATGCCAAAATTTGTAAACCAAATGGGTAATACAAATTTATGTTTATCATCTAAATTTATTTTATTATTATAAATTCTAAATAGTAGTAATAATACAAATTTCATAGAGCATTTGCTTTTCATATGGATTAATGTGCAGGGCTCCCGTGTTTTCTTTTATTTTCGTTTATAAATAAATATATACAACTTTAAATCTAATTGCGTCTGCGTCTTCACGTAAACGGAAATACATACATATGTATGTATGTATGTATATAGCAATGTTTTTTTTTCTTCAAATGCCAAAAATAAAATCAGCGAAAATTGCACGGAAAAATTCGTCAAAGACAAAAAGTTTTACTAATTCGAGTTGAATATATTGATGAACCCAGTCAAAGTAAAAGTAAAAGTTCAGCTAAGTGAAACGACCCGAAAATATTAACTTGAAATCATTGCTTAAACATGCATGCGAAAGGTTTTCACCAAATCATCTGAGGTCTGTCTATGGGTGTTATACGGAAAATGTACTTTTTTTTTTTAGAGAAAATAGAAGAGAAACTGGTGAGCAAAACTAAATGAAATAGTGTATACCCAATATCAGTATAAATTATTATCATTAGTATGTATTATAATCACGAAGTACAATATGGTTGCCGAACTTAGAACTCTGTGTTTTATCAGAAACTAGAAATGAATATGGCAAGCAGCTGCAGCTGTAAATCTAATGATGATATAATAGCT